AGATTTCAATAAATTATATGTTATCTCATAAATTATGGAAATAAAATAATTTATTATAGATAATATTTCTGTCTTTAACGTGGCTCTTGATAGTATGCAATGTTCACACAGGTTCTCAATCACTGAATTATGTGCACTAACAATTATTTGTTCACACCTCCACTAAGCACATATTCGCATGCAAGGTGAATTGTTCACGTTTTTTTTTAACTTCAATTATTGTAAAGAAAAATAAATATCATTTGTGTAAAATCCACGATTTAATAAATATCTTTTCATACAAGAATACAAAATGATTTCCGAAATTAGATGTAATTATTAATTATATATTCTGATTCTTATTCTCATCAAATAATGTACTATTTAATAACGACGCTGAAATTAACTTAATATTTAAAAAATATAGAATCATTACTTGTTTATGGACTTGTTTGGTGAAACTTCTGCTTTTTGTAGAAGAGTTTCATACAGAAGCTACATTAGATTGATCCAGACAAAGTTCTTCTAAAATTAATAAATTATCCGTTCATCTTTCAAAAGTAATTTTTTAGTATTAGAAATAACTTTTGACTTTTCAAACATTTTACCGAACAGGCCCTATATATATCAAACATTCAAACTATTGGGATTTATCATTTATGTCTTGTAAGCATGCCTTTCTTACGTAAGTGGTAAAAATACATAAATGAGAATAAACCAAGAAAATTGGGTAATTTCATGCCCAATCTACTGCTTAAACCCGGGAGAGGCAATTATTCTTAAATAAATGAGATTTAACTTATAAGTACAAAAGTGTCCCAATTATGAATCAAATATTTTTAAAATGCAACAATTTCGTAACCGTGATAGAACATATGAATGTGTGAATTGATGATCGCTTTATCTCTTGCGAAAATATTGACTTCGTATAACCCTTGTAATGAATAGTAGAGAAGATTATAATCAAATCAATAATTTGTGTTTAAAGACAAAAAAACATTAGTGCTTCAATGAGACTACGAAAACAAGACATTAAGGGTCCGTTTGATTGCAAAGATTGAATTGAATTGAAAACGAATTTCAGGGAATTGAATTGTATGGAAATTATTTCCTGAAAATTGTAAATTAATTGTGTTTGATTGGTATAATTTTCCATGTGAAAAATGTTGAAATAAAAGTGTTTTTTAAAGTTCGTTTTGCTTTGTTTTGCATGAAAATTGTTAATTAAATAGATAAATTTTACTAGTATTGGATATGAAATTTGTTTCCATTGAAATTTTTTTTTCAAGAAAATCGTCTATTTTATGGTGTTTGTTTAGTTTTGTTTTGCATGAAAATTGTCAATTAAAGGGAAATATTTTTTTAGAATAATTCTTAAAATTTGTTTTCATTGCCAAAAACAAAACAAAAAATTTCTAAATTTTTTTTAGCTACAGTGGCCGGTGAGAATTCGAACTCCATGAAAACATAGAAAATTGCTAGTTCTCGGGAAAAAAAAAAAAGAAAACAGATTCCTTGAAAAAAAAAAAAAAAAAAAAAAGCCTATCAAACACCCTAAAAGATGAAAAATGGAATTTTCCATTTTCTATGGAAAACTTGGTATAATCAAATGGGGCCTAATTATATTCTTGTCCTGTCTTCAACAAACATATAGTAAGCACGCCGAAAAGTTAGAATTCAGTTCTTGATTCATATAACTTTGTTGAAATATCAACGAGGTTGGACAAGATTAGAGGGTTTCAATGCAATTTTTTTAATTATTTCGTGTGCTTGAATAATCAAAAGAAGTTTTATCCTTATTTTGACGGCATATTGTCTACAAACTGCAATCCCCTTTTTTCTTGATAGTTTGACGAAACTCATGGAGATTTCATGTTGGATTATGTGTATTGTGAGTTTGCTGGTATTTAACTTTATATAATAGAATTTGCAATGTGGACAAAAATGTGGACAAAAGACCAATTAACGATAAATTAAGCATTTAAATCTTTATAAATTTAAGGTCTTTCATATATCATATGAATCCTTCTCTTTACTTCGTTCATGTTCAATGCTAGGTGAGAACGTTGGTGAGCTAATGATAGAGGGACCAATAAAGTTTTGGTGAACGATATTTGTAAATATAACAATTTTAAGGGATGAAATTCATTATCAAGTTTCGACTTACACAGAAGGCTCAATGACCTGGGCATTGTTTCGAAGAGAGATTTGGTGAAATAGACATTTACAAGTAACTAGATCCTTAATAATGATTACACTTTGAAATTTTTTTTATTTTTTCACCCCTTCGCTTTTCTTATGTGTTCGAGCTTGATGAAGATTTAAACATGTTTAGAACCTTCATAGACTAGCTGAACATCTCCATTGTCAACTATCTGCAGTAAAACATCTTCCTTGATTCGATTGTTGGTACTGAAAGAACACCTAATACAACATATGACCAAAGAAACATATTTTATTATTACAAATGAAATGTTAGAAAATTGGTTTAATTGTTGATTTGACCAATTTTTGACTAATTATTTAAGTGGGTCTGTTAATTGGACAAAATATTTCTTTGGCCAAGTGTATTCTACTCCATGAGTAGATAAATGTATGCATTTATTTTCTGAAAACCAATCAAGGGTGAATGAGAAATTCGGGAAAAAAATGATCACTTGAAGTTAAAATAAATTGAAAATAAAAAATAGTGGCAAATTAGAAAATGTAAATCCCACCTAGGAAAACTAGAAAAATAAAATTACTTTAAATTACTCAAGTTTGGGACTTGAGTTTGGGTTCCAAAGGGTACCATTAGTCTTTGAAGGAGAGGGGACCTATATGCAAGTAGCTTGAACCAAAGCTTACTAATGTATTTATTTATAATATTTATTTTTCATGAAATTTTCAGTGCACGATACATGGCATCTTATAAAAATTGGCGGTTAACTGTTAAATTGACTGTCCAAATGGATTGTGTCCGTTTAAGACAAACTTTTTGACAATTGTATTTTTTGGACACAACTTTTCAACTTCTATAAATAGGTTCTCATATGCTGAATTTTATTCATTCCAAATCAATTCCGATTTTTCTTTGTTGCAAATTATATTTCTTCCTTCCTACATTATTACATATTTTGCATTTCAGTCCCACATATTATTTTTTTTTCGCATTTTAGTCCTCTAATCTTAGAGAGATCAAAACATTAGTAGGTAACTTCATTGGGTCTTATAATTTGAAGTGCTACTAGTACTAGTCGAGGTTGTTGTATCTTAGGGACGAGTGCCGAAAGATTGTCAGCACCAGTGTGGGGACATTATCGTATTAAGGAGAAAGAGTCGAACTCTTGTTTCAATTATTATTATTATATTTTATTCTATTCATTCTGTAAGTCGGAATTTTGCTCAATTGTTTATTCGTTGCAAAAATATTATTTTGAATATAATTATTGCACAGTAAAATCAATATTTTACCAACATGAAATATGGGGAAAAAATTCATACAAATTCTGAAATACAATGTTATACAACTACAAGCACTATAAACTGGATAACAAGACATTTATTTGCATATTCTCTGTTTTTTTTATTAGAATTTCTTCAGCTTCAATCTTTTCTTGACTGTATAATACGCAAACAGCAAGCCCTTTTTTGCACACTTTCTGCTGTTTTCCAGGGAATTCTTCAAGAGATTTTCTGAGAAGCCTTTATCAATTTCTGCTGTACTAGACAAATGATTTGTTCTCCTTCTGACTGATATATTGTAGAAATGTAACCAAACTAGAGCAATCTTGTATACATTGTGTAGACTAGAAATACACAACTCTGCCGACACATGAATTTAATTAACTCGGGACTATTGTTCCCAAGTAGCCAAATCCCGCGATTGTGAAGGTGATAACTTGAAGAAATAGGTATATGAAATAGCAGTTCTTTCCATATAGGAAGTCGTAGCATCCACAGATGAATAGGAATACAGCGAAGCCCAACTCGTGTATTAGTATTCTGCACAAAATTAGGACATCTATCAGGTTTCCATATTTAGATACATATGATTGATGAGTAAACACACTTCAAGAACTACACGTAAATTTCATAGTCAATCTACTGTCATTTACTGTGAAAACAATAGCATACTAGTAGAAGAATCAAGCACAATATAACATGGAAGACATTTTCCAATCTATATAAGCTTTTAAATCTAAATTTCAATCTATAAACGACAAGTTTTGTGTTAAAGTGAAAGTAAGAGTGATAGTTTACCTGTCTCCAAGTTTAAATCTGAATTTCTTTGGTGCTGGTTTGGCGTTGGATTTGTTCTTGAGAGTATCTCCAAGTTTCTCAGTAACAACCCATTCGTTAGCTCTCTTAGCCTCGAGCAGACCAATGATGGTAGCCTTGGTACGGTGAAAAGACATCACGTTCTCAAATAAGACCCAATAAAACAATAAATGAAAAGACCTGAAAAATCCGAATTTTTCATTAGTATGGCGGCAGTTTTACCGCAAATTCAGTATTTCGTTTGGTACAGAAACCGACCTTGGAGTTCCGACTGAGTTTAGAGCTGTGATGATGCAAGGAATATAAATGGCTCCCCATTTCGGAACATCAACTTCAGGTACCAAAATTGTCAATGGGAGTACAACACAGTAGAAGAAGAAAGTGAACATGTGAGCAATGATCTTCCTTACAAAGAAGAAGCTGTATATTACATAAAACTTCTTCCATAGAGACACTTTCTGCCAAATCAAAAAAAAAAAGATTTTGAGTTTCTTGTCAGATGAAATCAGGTCCTCAGATCCAAAAAACCAAAGACAAATTTTAGGGTTATCCAACAAACCTTATTCTTGGCAATTTCCATAACCATTTTTCTGAATAAATTGGCAGGACCACAAGACCATCGATGCTGCTGAAAACGGAAGGCTTTAAATGTACTAGGAAGCTCGCTTTTCACCTAACAAGTAATTAAATATTAATTAGAAGTTGAAATATGATAAAAGATAAGCAGGTTTATATCAAAAAGATCTTAATTATTGTATTGTCTAGTCGTAGTCGAGTTTAGCCAATGTGACATAAATGGATAAACAAAAAAATTGACCAGACGACCAATTTCATTTTAGTACCTGAAGGTCCCCAAGATAGAGAAATTTCCATCCTTTGAGACCAGCTCTAACTGCCAGATCCATGTCCTCAACTGTTGTTCTGTCTTTCCACCCTCCTGCCTCATTGATTGCTGCTATTCTCCATATACCACCCGTTCCTAAAATTATGAAACTTTGTTATAATTTACTTTACGTTACATTCCATTTTTCTCTCTTCTATTTTCTACCACACAATCTTTCATAAAATAATATTACACGTAAATCGAAAAAAAATTCTTCTTTTTCAACTATTCATTTTTCAAAAAAACACTATTCCACCCATTTTCATTTCTACAAAATGGGGGCCAAATAGGGGCTAAGTGTTACATGTCAGTAGAATTCAGGTTTTAATTAAAAATGAGCTAGGCTTGTGCATATAAGCTACATTATATCTGTATTGTTAAGTTATATTTAATTAAGCAATTAATTAAGTACACAAACTTACCATTGAAGCCAAAGAATGCATGAGTAGATGATCCCACTTCTTGCTCGACTGTAAAGTGGTAATCCAACGACATTTCTTGCATTCTTGTCAATAAACACTCGTCCGAATTCACTGCAAAAACCAACCAAATTTTATAAATTTTCATTAGCATTCTGTCAACTATCCATCAGTTCTAAGAGTTGGACCTTAATGTGGCACCCTTTACTTACATTTTAGAACATGTTTCATAGAGATTTTAATTCAATTAACATTAATTTTTTGATCGTTATTTCACTATTTTAGTCGTCATTTTTGAATTCTTCTCTCACAGGTAGGATATACTTTATCTCTAACGATCAAAAAATCAATTAACAAAATTCCTATGAAAAAAGCACTTAATAAAGACTTACTATATATTTCAAGATAAGTAAATATTTATTTATTTATTTAAGACAAACCCAACTTTTTACACATAGAAGTGGAATCTGAAAAATATAACTAATTGTGCACATGCACATAGGTGGATGTGAAAGTAAAGGAAAGATCCAAGAACAAAAGCTGTTACCCTTCAGACAGCACATGAGCCAACATTAAAATAATTGGACAAGCCATGTAAGAACAACTTGTAATTTATATACACTGATACACAAGTTTGCTAGGCAGTGATTTTGAGAATTGATTTTTTCATCATTAAGAGAAAAGTGAAGGTTATTCGTGAGAGAAGGAGTCAAACATGACAGCTAAAATAGTAAAATAACGATCAAAAAATCAATTTTTTGAGATGAAAAATCACTTCCAAACTGGCTAACAATCTGTCGGTGTAAAAAATGTTGAAGTTTATTTTTATTTATTTATTTATTTATTTCGTGGGGTGGCGTGGCAGTTTGAGCCTTTGAGGAGTGATCTGTGACTGGTGAGTGAATGGGCCAGGCGGGGGTCCACAAACGAGCCGTCGGTACTGAGCAAGCGCATAATAGCACGTGGAGTGATATGTACAACTATACCCTCGTTGATACAAAACGTCAAGGAATTTTTAATTGTTTCTTTGTCGGTTTTACTAAAAGACAACCCTAGCCCGGATGTTAGCACTTCCACGCCGGCTAATCCGGAAGGGACTCTTAAAATTCAGGATATTTTCGTCATTAGGATAATGATATTTATTAAATAATGACAAGCTAACAACACTGCTTCACTAATTGAGCAATATTATGTTTAGTAGTTGACAACGTTAATAATAAAGAATTATGACCCATTAAATAAATTTGCTAAATGCTACTTAATTAAGCTAATTAAGGAGGATTTTGCAAAATGAAGACAAGAATTAATAATTTCAATAGATATTTTATGTATCGAAGTATGTATTAGGTAATATTTTGACTATGATTTATGTCGTTGGTTCACATAATTATTTGACCTTTTCTCCTAATTCTGAAGTTAAGTGCACGATAGTATTAAAATTATAATAATATATTAGAAAAACAATTGGGTTGGTCGAGTATATATAGGTTACCTATAACCAATCAATTATTTTGTCAATATTTTTTTATTGTCAATTATGAACCCTACACCACCGAAAAATTTGTTATTGCCGTGATATATGGCCGATGGGCACGTTAATAGACGTGGACCTCAGTAGTAGTCTTGGTGGACCCTATAATTCCACATGATTTTGCAAACATTCCAAGAAGCACCAACTTGAAATGGGAAAAACAAAAATATGTAATTTAATTTTATTGATATTTTGTAAATTACCAATATGCCTACTCATTTACTTGCGCACACAATAAATTAATGACAATTAACTATACCACCGACACTTTTGCATGTTGTGCTTATGATATTATATCCTAATATAATGTGATTATAATGAAGATGATTAATGAATTAGCGAATTATTAATGAATGAATGAATAATATTGTGATTTGTTGTTAAAATTAATGTTCGATTGCGACTTTAAATTATAAGAAAATTATAATAAAATTCAAACAAGTACGGAAAGTGCGGGACTTACCAAACCTCCAACGAGATTGAACAAGGGCAATATTGGGATTGTGCACGAG